CAGCCATACTAACTCAAAAAAGGAATTTCTGACTTTTCCCTCATAATTTAATATTGCTTTATATTTTTCTAATATTTATGAAAAAAACCCAAATTATCTGCATACAAACTATTACTTATCATTTCATTTTTCTTCCAATCAGTAATTTGTCTTTAAAAGAAAATGGTATAAAAAAAAATGCACTAAATTTTGTCTATAATATGCTATGTGTCTTGCAAGTTTCAAATAAATTAGTATATCAGAGGTTTGCTTAGCAAATAATTCAATGTGCAATTTAAAATTATTGCTTAAATCTGTAGAACCAATAATATTAGTTGTATATGTACTTAACTGTATTGTGTTAGTTATATAGCTGAACTTGAAAATAAAGATTCACAAGTGAAAAATAAAAAAAATTATTTACAATTTTATGCAAGCAGTCAGCATAACAACACAACACCTAAGTTATAACATACAAATAAGTTAAAACCAGCTGATCTCTTTTTATCAATAAATTATTCAAACTTTCTTGTAAAAATTGAAGCAGAAATCTCATTAAGCATATTGCCATACTAAGAAATCTCATCAATTCTTATTTATTAACAGGTGTGAAAATTTCAAAACTGCTTCTATATTAATTGGGTCTCATCAGAAACAATAAGATGAGACTATGTGACCTTAAATATTTAAATTTTGATACTGCAAGTTCAAGTTTCTATTCGTTAAATTTCAACCCATTTTGTCTGGCAATTACAAACACCGTTATTAACTTTTTACAACAGCCAATTAATAGTTTCAAAATGTATTACGATACTGCCATAATATGGATAAATATCGGGCAAACACTTGAGAAGACCGTCCATTACCATTTAAAACACTTCAGGTGCACAAATGATATTAAATTTTATACGATGGCTATTATTATTTATGAAGCATATAAAGATACATTCAACAGCAAATGGATGTCAGCATCACCAGTATATGTAAAAACATTTATTGATGTTGTGTAAAGGAAGTGATTATCAGTTAATGTTTCAAATATAGAAAATAATAAAAATGTTTTACCTATGCACCAGTATCCAATTTGAAAGTATCTGGTCACTACATGCAACACAATTTTGTTGTAATTTTTCCAAGCTAAAATCGTGATCTTCTAAGTTACTCGCTATCAGGCTTGTTTAATTTAAGCAAAGAATATATCAAAATGATTTGTCCAGAAAGCCACCAGTCTTAATTATGGGACACCGGTAATTTCAAAATGCACATGAAAATCACAGGTTTGTGAAATGAGTGCTCCTAATCAGAGACACCCTTTATTCAGCCAATTCCCAGAATAATAGTAGGAGTTATTACAAACCTGTTATTTTGTCGCCATGCTGAAACACATAACTGTTATCTTGATAAAGTAATTTATCATATGGTAACATGAAAATTATACTCAAATGATATAAAAGTAATGGCCACTTAAAGACACAACATAGACCCTTTTTTACACAACAACAAATTAAAGACAAGGAAATGAATTTTTCAATATTTTTTAAGTGTAAAACAGTCAGTACATGCCCATATAAAAAATATAAATTATAATGACCCATTCTCAGTATAAAAGCAGCAGTTACCATAAACTTGTCATCTTGTAAGCATGCTGAAACACAACTTTTATCATGAGAAAGCATTTTACAGTATGTTAACACCAAATGATAACCACTTACTAAACATTAAGTGGTAGCCATTTAAATACAACCCAGATACCATTTTATGCAGCAAACACTCAACAGCACGAAAATGAATTTTTCAATATTATCATCTTTCAAGTGCTCTGAATATAAAACAGTCAGTGCATGTCCATATGAACAAAATTATAATGACCCATTCCCAGTATAATAGCAGCAGCTATTATAAACATACAATTTTCTAATCATGCTGGAAACATATAACTGTTACCTCGATAAAACATTTTACCATATGTTAACACAAAAATTATATCAAAATGATAAGAGTAGTGGCCACTTAAAACATAACCCACACACATTTTTATGCGATGACAAATTAAAGGCAAGGAAATTCCTTCTTCAATATTTCAAGTCATCTGAATATAAATATATTTCAGTATACTGTGGCCGATATGCAACAAAAGTATAATGACCCATTACCAGTATAACAGTGGCAGTTATTATATACATATCATTTTGTACCCATGCTGAAACATATCACTTTTATCAGGAGAAAGCATTTTACCATATGTTAACACCAAACTTATATCCAAATGATAAAAGTAGTGGCCGCACTAAAACAAAAACCGAGATACTTTCTTACGCGATGACAAATTAAAAAAGGACATGCCTTCTTCAATATTTCAAGTCATCTAAATATAAAACAGTCAGTATATGTTCATATCAACAAAATTATAATGACCCATTACCAGTATAACAGTGGCAGTTATTATATACATATCATTCGGTAAGCATGCTGAAACATAACTTTTATCAGGAGAAAGCATTTTACCATATGTCAACACCAAACTTATACCCAAATGATAAAAGTAGTGGCTGCGCTAAAACACAAACCGAGACACCTTTTTACGCAATGACAATTTAAAGGCAAGGAAATGCCTTCTTCAATATTTCAAGTCATCTGAATGTTAAACAGTCAGTATCTGTCCATATCAACAAAAGTATAATGACCCATTACCAGTATAACAGTGGCAGTTATTATATACATATCATTTTGTACCCATGCTGAAACATATCACTTTTATCAGGAGAAAGCATTTTACCATATGTTAACACCAAACTTATATCCAAATGATAAAAGTAGTGGCCGCACTAAAACACAAACCGAGACACTTTTTTACGCGATGAGAAATTAAAAAAAGGACATGCCTTCTTCAATATTTCAAGTCATCTGAATGTAAAACAGTCAATATCTGTCCATATCAACAAAAGTATAATGACCCATTACCAGTATAACAGTGGCAGTTATTATATACATAACATTTTGTAAGCATTTTGAAACATATAACTGTTACTTTGATAAAGTATTTTATCATGTTAACACCAAAATTATACCCAAATGATAAAAGTAGTGGCCACATAAAAACATAACGCAGACACTTTTTTACACAACAAATTAAGGGCAAGGAAATGAATTTTTCAATATTTCAAGTCAATTATAATGATAAAGAATCTTACCATATGTTAACACTAATTTGATATCCACATTAATAATAAGGACCACTTAAAATACAACCCAGACACTTATTTACATAGATGCATAGAAATGAATTTTTCGTTACTATTACTTTTCAAGTGATCTCAAGGTTAAACAGACAGCATACATGAGTAGAAAAAAAAATAATAAGGAATTCACAATAATGTGTAACAGTAACTGTTAGATGCGAAAATATTTTTTCAACAGAAATAAATCTGAACTAACATCACTAGGCTTTGCTCAATTAATTTTTTGTGTCTTGTTACATGCATTAAAGTTACTAAACTTACTAGTCTATGAAATACAGCATCATTTGAATTAAAACCTACATTTTTTAAATGTTTAATTGCTAAACACCCATTATATTTTTATTTATGCTTTAAAGTTTTCAATTTGCGCTCTTTTGCAATGCTTCTTTTCTGGTTTAGTGTATCATTCTTTAATTTGCAATAATTATTTAAAAATGTGTTCGTTGATGACCAAAGAATCTGCTTTAACACTTTCTGTGACTCATGAGCTTTAGGGCAATCATCTAGATTTAAAAAAATGTCATTTTCTATCAGTATGTCTAGAGTTAAGTTACATGCTATATCCCTCTGATTTGCAGAAAATAAAAATTCATTCTCAAATTCTTCAGATACAAGTTTTTGAATAACAACATAATTATATATTACTGAATTTAGTACATCAGGATGAGGATATAGAAGTCCTCTATCAAATCTTTTTATCCAAGACTGTCCTTCATTTTCTACAATTAATTCTTTAATTCTTTATCAATAGTTAGATTGCCTTTACAAATATCACAGCTTAATAGTTTCACAACTTTATAACTACAGTAACCAGCTATATACATTAAAATTGGTATGTCATTTTGAACATTTTGTATATCTTCATTTGTAATAGTTATTCTTCCTGAGAAAGTGCATCCAATATTTTCTTGCTCCAGAGATTCAATACACAGGTTTTTACAATTTAGATAAATAGGAATTCCTCCATACTTTGATGATTTAATAACAGTTGGCAGAAGACTTTGTAATCTTAATTTTGCTTCAGTTTCATATACTTGCCTTATAGAAATATTATGTTGTGAACCAGCCAGCTGTCTATATTTTCCGAATCTATTCTCTAGGAGATCTGTCTGAACTTTTCCTGGTAAAAAGTAAGTAAATTTTAGCTCCTCAATGCAATACCTTGCCATTTCGAGCAACGAATAGCTAGTATGTGTTAATGCAAAATGTGTTTCCTTAGTTAGTCCACCACTAGAACAGCCTAAAAGTTTCCACTGATCTAACCACTCAAGTAACTTATTTAAATAAATATATCTAACATCATCATTTTGCACAGTTAACGGCTTTTGATACTCATTCATCTTATGGTGTCCTTTAAAGATACTTTTGACATTGACTATTGACCACCATGTAGATATAATTTTAATAAATTCAGCTGTTGTTTCGTAATTTAAAATACTATTTTCTTTACCAATAACCATTATTGCCTCTGCAAGACGACTGTCAAATATTTGTAATGCTAGCTTGACATTTTGTCTTTCCAAATTGGTTGGATACAGAGCTTTCAGAGTCAAACCATAACTATATTTTACAATTCTGTTCTGCCTGCCTCTAATGAATGGAGACTTTTTATGCATGCAAATGCCGCTGTTTCGACCTTGGAAAAATTTTCAAAATTTGGATAAAATAAACATTGCCCAGAAGTTTTTTGATTTATCCAGTTGTTCCTGACACACTTCAAGATGTGCACTGAGTCAATAACAAAAAATAGTGGCCGAGATAAGTCTGCAGGGTTTTTATACACTAATTTTTGGAGGCATACAAAATAATGACATGTCTTTTTTTATTTATTGAATTATTGTCAGAGACAACTGCCACAATTCTATAACCTATATTTTCTAAACCAATTATAATTTTCTTAAGATATTGATACAGATCCTCAGCATTTAATGATTTAACTGGTAATATATGTGCCACATCCTTGAAAGGTGATAATAAGCTACGTATCATAAAAACATAAGCACTTGTAGCAGCTTTTTCACAGTTGTAGGCCATGCCACACAAATTTCCTCCTTTAAAATCGAAACATGAATTTAAATGCACTTCATCCATCATAATAATTACAGTTTTATCATTTTCTTCTAAATCCTTGCATCTTTGTTTAACATATCCTAAAAAGTCATCATTAAATTGCTCAGTAATAGGATTAAGAGAAAACATTGAACAAATTCTACGAATAGTACGTGGATGGGGAATAGAAATGTAACCTGAATGTCGTAAAAACTTGTATGCATGCGGTGAGATCGAGTTTAACAAACTGCAAAAAATAAGTAAATCTGGAGTATATCGATACTTCTCTTTCTTTACATTTAGTTTATTTACTTGCTCTGAAAGGAAGTTCAGTTCAGTTTCTTTTTCAGGTAACACTCTTTTCAATTCTGAAAGCATATCATCCACAATTTGTATAGAATTCTTAATATATTCTTCATTTTGTAAGTTATGAGACAGACTTTCAACTTCCTTTAGTACTTCTAGAAACATATTTACATTACTAATTTTTAGAGGGAAAACAAATTTACCAATAGATTTTATAGCGATGTTTTTAATATAAACACATACTGTTAAATCCTCATTTATTACTAACCGATTTCTGAATTTCTGGAGCTGGGTCACTTAAAATATCAAGTAACATAGTTGAATTTTCAGTATGTACAGTTGTCCAAAATGTTTCTAAAATCTGATGTTCTAGGCAATTATTGAATTCAATTAAACTTTCAAATGATCGTTCATTATCATACCGTTCTTTCATTTTCAAACTTTCTTCTATCGCTTTCTCCAGGTATTTCTCTTCTAAACGAGCTTTCTTCTTTTCTGGTGACATTCTCGATACAGAATTTGATGACATGTAGGATGGGCCATCAGGGAACTGAGAAGGTATGCATCCTTTTTTCAAACGTGGCCTAGAAATTGGGGCTTTAATTAACTTCGCTGATTTCTCATCATACATTTCGATTTCTCGTATTATTTCATCTGATCGAAAATGTAATTCACATACCTATAAAAGAAAATATTCAAAAATCAACTTGTTGTGAGTACAAAAGTTAGATGCATGTTAATATTTAGTAACAGAAGTCAATAAGCCCTATGATTTAAATAAATAATTTGATACATAAATACGAATTAAAAAAAACCAGTAATATCATTTCAATTACGTGTATAATTTAAGTAATTTGTAAAATCTGGAATGCTCATCATAATGATTACAGCTTTATTTACATTTAAAGAAAATTATATATTTGAGATAATTGTTTACAACAAACACTGGTTACCAAATACAAATAATTACCTTGAATACATCATACCAAACTTTCATATATCATTACAAAAATTTTAAAATGAAACCTATTATGATTACTTAGTAGTTCCTTGTCATATAAATTATGATAAATTTGGAATAACTACAGAATCTGCCTGCACAGTATACTAGAAAGCATTTACAAATTATTGGCATTTATGTAACTACTAAATTTAGAATTATTCCTGTTATATGGAACTTTATTTCATTCATAAAACTTTGAAGGAAAATATTTTTTTGAAATGATTAAAACAGGCAAGATTAAAATCTTTCAAACATAAAACTTCTTACCCACAGATCAAAATCTAATATCGTAAGCATAAACATCACATACCTATCAATAAAAGTAATAAAAAAATGTAAAGATACAAAACATAAAAAAAATGCAGTAAAATTGAACTTACTCTGGTATGTTTAGTAGGTTGAAAGCCATCTTTTCTTCGTAGACTCCTTATCCATTTCATCCGGAGTTCAGTCTCATTTGGAAACTTGAATACAGCCACTTTTGGTCCGTTTTTATAATTACCACGACATGTGGCTACAGCACATTTATGAGGCATCGTATGAAATTATAAAAGCACGAGACAATATATAAAAAAAGCACGAGACAATATAAAAACTCTGTCGCTAACGCAAATAACCGCTCCACGTTCGTCGCTCTTGGCTCAACTACGGGGCTTTGATTTTGTTTGAAGGAGCGAGGTGAGTCAGAGACGACTACCTGTGACGTCAGAGCTTCCCCTCGCTTCAGAGCGTCCCGGCTTCCTTCTATAAGGAGGTGTTGGTCCAACCCGTAAAACTGCTACAACGTAGGAAGCCCATTGTCATCCAAAATAGTGCAGTAGGCATCGGAGTTGAGCTTACCATGAATGGGGACCAAGGGTCCCAGCCCATACAAGGAGAAACACCCCCAGACCATAATTCCACCTCCGCCGAACTTGACTGTTGGCACAAATGAATTCTGGCAGGAGACGTTCTCCAGGTAAACGCCAGACCCAGACCCTACCATCCGAACGGTAAAGGGTGAACCTTGATTCATTACTCCAAAGAACCCATTTCCACAGATCTACGGTTCAATTTCGATGTGCTTTGCACCACATTAACCGAGCCGCGCGGTTGAACTTTGTGATCAAAGGCTTATGGGCAGCAGCCCGACCATGAAAACCAAGCAGATGTGCTTCCTTACGGATGGTATTCATTGAAACAATACTCCCGGATGCCTGTTGAAACTCCTCGCGGATCAGGGACATCGGTTGGGTGCGGTTCTTCCGAATTTCTCTGGACAGCACTCGTCGGTCTCTATCTCTCAGTTTCGTTGGTCTGCCGACTCGGGGCACATTCCGACAATCGTCGCTCACCTTCCACTTCTTAATCACATGGGTCACTGTCGATTTTGGGTACTTCAGGTCGATAGATATGTCCCTTAAGGATCGGCCACATTTGTGATACCCGATAATTATATCTTTCTCGAAATCGAACTGCGAGGCATCTTGCATGCGACTAAAGCCGATGCTGTTTCCTACACGATATATATCGGCGGCGTCCGTGACATACCTTTGGACCGCAGATATCGTCATTTGCATAGGTGTCCAAATACTTATTGGTAGTGTATTAGGTGAATGGACAGATGATTGGGCAGAGATAAATATGTGATATCGTGGTTATTAAAGGCAGGTAAAGCCTATGGATACAAACTAAATGATAGATCTGTACAAGGAAAAACAACAGGATTTAAAATAAACTATCTAAATGAAAATATCTTAAATTTGAATGACAACGTAAGAGTGTAGTTAAATTAGTTTGTTGGCTAGATCTTTACTTGAGCTGTGAAGCAACTATTCGTTAAAAGCAAACTGTATCAATAACAACACGTGAAAGGGTGAAAATACCCTTTTATTCAATTCAAGAAAAGTTTTTACAGTCGGCACCCCTGGTGCTTACAGCTCAGCCAACACTTTTGGCTGTAATTCAAAATGTAAAATTAGAACTAAGTTAAATAATCAGCCGAAGTTACACAGAGATAATAAATGCGAGTTGGTTCTTAGCCCTACCACGGACGTAAATAAACCGCAATTAATATGTACGACCGTAAAGTAGAAAGCTTTATATATCAGCGAAACAAAGCGGACGAAAGGCAGAACATGATCTGTGTGAAGTAACTCAGACACCAACTTAAATAGTATCTTTCTACCCTACTTTGCATAACGCGCGAAACTGAAATAACATCCTGGCAAAAAAGCATGGGTTGAAAGAAAGAGCATTAGGAAAAGTTGCTTCAAAATAAAATTAACTGTTAAGTAAATTAAATAAATCCCTACATTTTCCCCTGCTAGAATTTAAATAACCGAATACAAAAGTCTCAAAAACCATTGTTGAGATTATACATTCTACGTTTAAGAGCCGACTTTTACATTCAAAAAGCTAAACTAATGTTTAAAGTATCTTACATAATAGTCTTCTGCCATGAACAATACATAATTTCTTGAAACAGCTGCTTTCGTTCCAGAGATCTGGAAGGGAAATACATTAGTATTTCTGCTCAACAACGTTCACAGTAATTCTCAATTACATCACATTTTTCGAAACCAAGTCATTTGACTTCTCATAACATTTAACTTAGCTTTCCTTCAATTTCATTTACTCGAAGATTAAATTTAATTCCTCCAATGCTCCCGGAAAAAGTGTTCTGTAAAAAGTTTCAAGCGTGTTTCTGGAGTTAGTGTTTTAAACATACTACCTCCTGAAAATCTTCCTCAGAGTTAAAAATTTAGACACCCAGACCTTGATAACAGCTTAATTTCAATCTGTACCTAATGTGCTAACAACGTAGGTGATTTAAAACTTTAGAGTAAACTGGAAAGTTTAATTTAGAACTTCAAGCATACTTCTAGCTTGATTTACAATTATTTCCTTTAAATTCCTCTGAGATAGTTAGCTTAACTTTTAAATATTTCTAACTCATTCTTTAACAGCTAACTTCAAACATTTTACTTTTACCATTAAAAATAAAAACTTTCAATCTTGAACCATAACATCATTACAATACTCAATGCATATTTACATCACAATACACTAAGGAATTTCATAGATTCGGTTACATTTTACATCAGCCGTACATAGTTGCTTTAATATTCGTTTACAAAATTTCGCCAACAATTCTTACATTTTTAAGATCTTAGTCTTTACACTAAAATCAGCAATAAATTAAAACTATCACGAGTACTTGAGAAAATAATTTCAAAGCTTCTTGCTTGTAAGCAAAACTTAACAATGATGACCTTGTTTGATGTAAAACTGAAATTACGTAGCAACTTCTGCACATGATATAAAATCAAACTGACTTTTCAAATTTGACTTTTCAAATCACTCTTTTTTTTTTTTTTTGGTCTCTTTCCAAGCCCGACATTCTCCTTTCAATGAATTCGTCAGACGTCGAATATCTGTTCAACCGGTGAAATCTGAGCCTTCTTTGGGGACGACCTTGTGAATCACATATAGGCAGCATCCAAAAAACCGACTCAAAAGGTCGTCCCTAGAGGAGGCTTAGATTTCACGAATGCTGCCTATATGCGGTCAAGTCTTAAATTTCGAACCCCTCTAAACATAGGAGAAGCTGAAAAAGAGAGGACTATCCCTTTCGACACGCAGGGAAAATGTAGGGGTCGTTTAAACATTCTCTAAACGTCTAACATTCTTCGTCTAACGTTTAAACGTCTAACATTCTCTGTATTCAGTTTTATACAGAGGAAAATGAGAAAACAAATTGAATTCTTTTTTTTTTTTAAAGCCATAGGAGTAGAAAGACAGATATTTCTTACATCAATGAATCTGTAGTAAATACTGAGTTCTGTATTTCGCATGCTATGTTACATGTATGCGAAGTATCAGAATATCTGAGAAAAATTCTTAACACAAATGGCTTTCAACCTTTCCACGTCTAAGGACTGTTTTTCAAATACATTGCGGTCGCTGCTTTTTGATTAATTTTCTAATGCCACATAAAAATTACATTATTTCTAATTTGAGACTTATGAATAAAATAACGCAAATTAGACTGCAGAAAATTCTTCAGAATGAAGTTAATAATACTGAAAAATACATTACCGATGCACTTTTTGGCTTCATATGTAGTAGTTAATATGGAATCCTTAAATTATATATTTCTATGTATAGGTATATGCAAATGGAACAGAATATAGAACAAGGTATAAAATATCAAAGAAAAATATCTTTAATACACAATGTTCATTAACGTAAATATATTTATGTAATATCAATATAAATGGTCAATTAGGTTTCGAAGAAATTAGAAGTTTTAAGTTATAGCAGAAGATGCCGGGAGCTTTTGAAGAATCACAAAATCATTTGATATTCCAAGTATATCTTTATTACTTGTTACACTTCACAGTGGGGCCAATCTGCACCCCACAATTTTGACGATGGCGCATTACATTTTTAAAAAAGCGGCTACAAAGCGGCTTTTTAAAAAAGCGGCAAGAGACGTCCTTTAGATAGCAAGCATAGGCAGAAAAAGAGGGTGGATAGTTGGATTACAACGGTATTCGTGATAAAAGTTTTCGTTAATCCAACACTATCTTACATTAAGAGGGTAAAAGGAACAACTGTACAGAGGTAATTACAGGCCTCTGTTTAGGAACCAGTACTTCCGAAATACTCTATACTTAACACACAATCACCCATAAATTTTAACATGCATTTACTATAATTTCATATTACTTATCTGTACAAATTTCACTTATTTTTTACATCTACTTCATTTTTAGAATAATTATAAAATTCGTATTCAAAATTTTCAACAAAATTTCAAAAATATAAAAACTTATCTTAACAGCCTTCCCTAAAATAATTAAAAATCTAAGAATTCTTTACTTCCTTTACTAAATTATTAGAATTCAAATTTCTAATATCATTAAATTATATTTTTTCATATCATAGTGTTACATTTTTAATGTCTAATTTATTAAGAAAAAATATCAGTTCTCAATGATTCAATTACGCTAAAGCAGAAGTGAAAATAATTTTCTGCCACCTACTTCAAGTGTAAATTTAATCCTATAACTGCGAAAGAGCATCCTAATTTATTCACATACAACCGGATCAAGATATGCAGTTCGATAACCTTGAAAGCACTGGAATGATTTGAAACGTCAGCACTCGGAAAAACATTCGTCATTTTACTATAAACAAACGCTCAATTAACTTTGAGAGGCTGGCACTAGATTTCATTTTTAAGCACTCTTAGCTTCGAATTTTTTTTTTTCAGATTTTCATGTCGCTGTTCAATTACGACGTTGCACTTATTAAATCATCGTATATGCTAAATTAAATTTCGAAGAATAGATTTTGATTTAAAACATTTAAAACTTTTAACACGACTTGCTGATTCCAGGTTTGCGCACATAGATCGACGGAGCCGAAGTTATCTTGAAGATTATAACATGAAAGCATTAATTAACTAATTCGCTTTCACAGTCTTAGCCACAATTAGGATGATAACACTTCCGTTAAGAACAGGCACACTTTGATGATTTAAAACACT